GTGGCACAAGAAGTTTGACCATGCAATGTTAACTAATGGGTTTAAAATAAACGAAAGTGATAAATGTGTCTACGTTAAGGAAACGATAAACGGCTATGTCATTCTTTGTTTATACGTAGATGATATGCTCATCGTTGGTAGTAACGATCGGATGATCAAGTCTACCAAAAACATGTTAAATGCGAGATTTGGCATGAAAGATATGTGTTTGGCTGATTTAATCCTCGTGATTAGAATCATTAGAAGACCTGATGGTCTTGTGTTGAGCCAATCACATTATATTGATAAAATCCTTGAAAAAATTAACAAGGATAATTATCAAAAGACTAGGACGCCATTAGATCGTAGCATTCGTCTAACCAAGAACCACGGGGAGTATATTTCTCAAGTAGAATATGCTCGGTTATTGGTAGTTTGATGTATCTTATGAGCTGTACTAGGCCGGATATTGCCTTTGCAGTTAGTAAAGTCAGTGGATATACGAGTAACCCTGGTGCCATGCACTAGAAAACAATAGTGAAGGTTATGAGATACTTGAGGTATACTCGGGACCTTGGACTACACTATGGGAGATATCCTGGCATCCTGCTGTACTTTAAGGGTATAGCGACGCTAGCTGGATATCTTATTTAAGGACTCTAAGTCCACGAGTGGCTATGTGTTTACACTAGCCGGTGCAGCCATTGCATGGAAATCCTCTAAAAAAATCGTGATAGCTAGATCCACGATGGAATCTAAGCTGATAGCCTTAGACAAATGTTGTGAAGAGGCTCAATGGCTACGCCATTTTCTAGAGGATATTCCTAAATGGGAAAGACCTGTATCTCCAATATGTGTGCATTGTGATAGTCAAGTCACAATTGGGAGAGTACAAAGTTATATGTATAATGGTAAGTCTAGACATGTGAGTCGTAGACATAATACTATTAGACAACTTCTCACAACTGGTGTTGTCTCGATTGGCTACGTAAAGTCAAAAGACAATATAGCAGATCCGCTGACCAAAGGGTTATGTAGAGAAGTTGTGGAGAAGTTGAGACGAGGAGTCTAAAGCCCTTGGTATAAAGTTCTATAGTGGGTACCCAACCTAGCTGGCACCTAGGTTCAATGGGACAACTAAATTATGGAATGGAGCGTGTCACTATGGGGATCTCGGACACCCTACCACTCCTCGTTAGATCAGTGACTCCCGTACGAGCTAGCACATTGATGCTTTAATGATTCGACTGTCGGCTGACATGTGTGAGTATGCGGGATACTCGGAAAAGAATCACCTATGTGAGAGAGAAGTGTAGGTCGCTTCAGAGGAGAATTTACGGGCTAAATTCTTTAGAAACTCTTGTAGAACCAGGAATGGTAACCCTCGACCAAAACGGGCACAGTCATGAGAACAGAGCATGGTTGGGAGGTTCCTGTGTGAGATATGTCATCATCTACACAAACAACAGTCGGTTCAAAGACATCGCGTTCTACCGTACAACCAGTAGAGTAAACATATCTTCACAAGGGAATGTTCAAATGGTGACCCCTATCTATCCTATGCAGGGATCGACCCTTGAACACAGTTGCAACAACCCCACTTTTCTTAAACCTTATTAACAGACTTAACCTTGAAGGATAAGCTAAGGCAGCGGAATAAACTTACTAAACAAACTTAATAGAGGTGTCACCTCCACAATCACCCTTCACGGTGATTGCACAGGCAAAGGTTAAACAAACTAAATCATTCAAGTCTTACTAACATCGAACAAACTAGGGGATAAGACCCCGGTGTCCAACACCATCAAAACAAAAGGGTAAGTCAACTACAAATCTCAAAAACAACCAACATCAAGAGTTTAGACTACAACTAGCTATCTATGCTAATCTAGTCTAACTCGTATTCTCTCACGAACTGGGTCCACCTGAAAGGGGTTAACAAACAACAAGTATAAAACAAACCCGTTAGCATGAAGCTAAGTATAACGACACTCAACCCTCTAAAATACTACAGAATATACTTTTGGAAAACAGTTGTTTCACATACTTAGATCAAGTATTCTCAAACATTTAAGTGACATTTAAACATGCTCATCAGGGTTTCTATATGCTTGTAACCTAATTATCAAATAGGCATTCTTTCACAATTATTCAATTTATCAACAATCTCATGCTTGCACATACTTAACTTATCATGGCGATATACACTAATCATGCTCAACTGGTGAGTAATAATATACTTAAGCTTTAACAAGCAATCTCATGCTAACATATATCTCAACAAGCAATCTCGTGATATCACATAATTCAATAAGCAATCTCATGTTGTCATATAACTCGATAAGCAATCTCATTATATCATATAACTCAATAAGCAATCCCATGCTATCATATAACTCAATAAGCAATCTCATGCTATCATATAATTCAATAAGGAATCTCATGCTATCACATAATCACTAAGCAATCTCATGCTATCATATACTCAACATGCAATCTCGTGCAATCATGTAATCTCTAAGCAATCTCATGCTATCATATACTCAACATGCAATCTCGTGCAATCATGTAATCTCTAAGCAATCTCATGCTATCATATACTTAACATGCAATCTCGTGCAATCATATAATCTCTAAGAAATCTCATTTTATCATATAACTCAATAAGCAATCACATGCTATCATATAACTCAATAAGCAATCTCATGATATCATATAATTCAATAAGCAATCTCATGCTATCACATAATCTATAAGCAATCTCATGCTATCATATACTCAACAGGCAATCTCGTGCAATCATGTAATCTCTAAGCAATCTCATGCTATCATATACTCAACATGCAATCTCGTGCAATCATGTAATCTCTATGCAATCTCATGCTATCATATACTTAACATGCAATCGTGCAATCATATAATCTCTAAGCAATCTCATGCTATCATATACTCAATATGCAATCTCGTGCAATCATGTAATCTCTAAGCAATCTCATGCTATCATATACTCAACATGCAATCTCGTGCAATCATGTAATCTCTAAGCAATCTCATGCTATCATATACTCAACATGCAATCTCGTGCAATCATGTAATCTCTAAGCAATGTCATGATATCATATACTCAACACGCAATCTCGTGCAATCATGTAATCTCTAAGCAATCTCATGCTATCACATAACTCAATAAGCAATCTCGTGCAATCATATACTCAATATGCAATCTCATGCTATCATACACTCAATATGCAATCTCATGCTATCACATAACTCAATAAGCAATCTCGTGCTATCATATACTCAATATGCAATCTCATGCAATAATTTAATCTCTAAGCAATAATATGAACATGATGCTTTAGTATAAGTATAGATAGATATACATATACACTCTTTGTAAAAAGAATAATTTTATGTGGAGGTTTCTTAGAGTCACAATGACTCGCTTTGCTCTTCTTTATTAGAGTCTCAATGACTCGCTTTCTTTAGAGTCACAATGACCCACTTTCTTATACTCGTGGGCGAGGTAGGACTTCACCATAAGGTGAACGGACCTATCTGGGCTCGGCATCTAGCCGGCCTAATACTCATCTCGCCCACAGAACCACTCTCTTGGTTCTTTTCTCAAACTCTATGGAATCAGGTATCGAACTATTAGTGTGCACCCCCCTGACTAGGATTCCAAGCCTGGTGGGCAGTTTTCAACCTAGTAACTCGGGAATACCGACCTCAGTACTTCATATTGGATCGCAATGTCCTTTTCTTGCTTTACTTTCTCTTTTCACTGTTTTATCGGTTCTATCCGATCTTGTAACACCCCGTGTTACGGCCTTCAATCCCAGATTAATTATTTAATTAATCCCGTTAATAATAATTAAATATGATTTAAATTGGTTAGGCTTCCCTTTAAATAATTAATAAGTTCCACCATGAATCGTGGACCCTTGCCTAAACTAGAGTTTTAAGCCTATTAGGAATAAAGAAAGTAAACCTTTTACTAGTCAAATTCTAATTAGGAATCCTAGACCTATTTATCTATTAAGAATAAAGGAAGTAGGACTTTTACTATTCAGATTATGATTAGGATTCTCTTTAATTAATTAATATAGTCCACTATGGACCATGGACCCTTATCCCTAAAACAAGTCCTTAGTCCTATAAGGAATAGGATTAGTAAACCCATACCACTTAGACCCTAATTAGGACTCTTAAATATATAAATAAGGTTATAGGAGCCACCTAGATCTTACACCACAATAATCTCTCACCACACAAGAAGTTCTAAGAATTCCCTTAGTAGAAATCAAGAAAGAAGAAAGCTTAAAGAAAGACCCTTCATAGCCAAGGAATTAATTAAGGCTAAGAGGTAACCCATGTCTCAACAAAACCTATTTTCCTTGCTATAATTATCTTCTTTGGCCTCCTCTCTATACTTGTGTCTTGATGAATCGTTTATGATATTGATGATATGTTCTTGATGATTATGAGATGATTTTATGGGTGATCTTGATGATCTTGATGATGATAAGAGGTTCTTGATGATTATGTGATGTTCTTGATGAATCTTGATGTTTTGGCAATTAAAAGATGAACTATGATTCTATTGATTTGAATATGATTAGAGCCCTAGGTTAAAATTGGGAATTTTGTATTGTGTTATTCTTGATATAAATGGGTAGGATTTCGCATGTTCGGGTGTTGATTATGTTTAGAAGTCAAGATAGGATATTGTGCTATATGATTCTTGCTTTTGATCCGTTAATTGTCTCCGTGGTGTCATCAATTGCATTTAAAAGTGTCTAAGCATGGTTTCGGGTTCCACAACGGATCCCGGGACGTTTATTTTGAAAAAGAGTCAGTGGGGGGTAGGTGGGGGTAGGGGGACCCGCCACCTACCCGCTGCCCGAGAAGGGCGTCGCCGGCAGCGGGCAGGCGACTGCCCGCCGGGCACCCGCTGCCCGGAGGCTTGTCGCCGGCGGGTGGCCCTCCACCCACCGGCTACCCGCTGGAAATTGTCCAACTCGGGACTCCGGCTTCCCCGTTTGATGTTTCCCCGACCATCGTGGTGTCCCAACGGACTCCGTATATCGTGCCTAAGTCTAGTTTGATGTTTCGGGTACCATTCGTAGGATAAATGAGTCTTAAATATATCGCATGCTAGTTGAACTGGTATCCCGTTGGCCTAAGTGAAAGAAGTATGAACCCCTTAAGACTATTCCTAGTTTGTGGATGACCACGCATAGGTTTCTTTATACGTTTTCTCCCCTTTCCCAATGTGCTAATATGAGTTGCATGTGCTTGCTATGTGTTATGTGTGCATGATACCCCAATTTGGTTGCGATCAAATTGGTTATTCCTGAGCTGCGGTTCAGAAGCTGGCTGCGGTCAGAATTACACTCTTGGCCTGCGGTCCACCGTTTGGTTGCAATCAAACGTTTTACATGAGCTGCGGTTCATATTCCTGGCTGCGGTCAGATGATCACTTTTGGGTTGCGGTCCACCATTTGGTTACGATCAAACGTTTTACATGAGCTGCGGTTCATATTCCTGGCTGCGGTCAGATGACTACTCTTGGGCTGCGGTCCACTGTTTGGTTGCGATCAAACATTATGATGAGCTGCGGTTCATCGGTCGGTTGCGATCGACCCCTTCGTATTGCGATACGAGGCAGGGTGCTACGGGCCGTGTCAGAGCTATATGCGCTGACCCTCATGTATGGGCATGCGATTGGTCCTGTAGCGCCACCAAAGTGTGCTTGTGTGTGATGAGATACGAATTGGAATGATGATATGAATGAGATGAAGTGAATCTGTGACCATAGGATATATGCTAGTATCTTTATATGCTTGATTATAACTGTTGAATGTGCTTACCCCTATCTATCGAGTCTATTCTTGGTTTTAAAACTAGTGTCTCTTACGTATATATATTCCTGCTTCAAAATGGCTTTTCGTATATCTATATATATATCTATCTATAATGTATTTCAACGTGTTGGAGTGGGTTACCAGCATCTCTCGCAGAACAGATATATTTGGCTTTCAGGCACAGAGGAGTAGACACTGGAGCGCGCTAGAGGTTTGCAGTGTAGAGCAGATAGTTTCCCTTCGGCCTGCATGTCATGCTTATGTATTCACATTATTGAGGATATTAGTTAGTCGGCCTGTGCACCTGAGTTCTCTAGCTCAGGTGTGGCATAGCACCCCGTACTCTACTATATTATGTTTTGGGATTTAATGAGAATTTACCTTTATTATATAAGTTTCAAAAGTTTCGAAAATCTGGGGTGTTACAGATCTTATCTCTTTTCTTCCGAAAGGACATAGTCCTAACGGGCCTCCAAAACCTCTGACTACTCACACTAGATACATATAGATATAAGTCATGCAACTTCTTTACTTATGCAAACTTATGCACATAGCTTCTCAACAACTTCTCTTTTCTCACAAATTGGAAATCAAATATCATGCAACTTCTCAATGTAACTAGATAATGATTTTCCAAAATAGATATAAGTTTTTTGAAAATAGTACTTAGGCTCACACTGGCCACTTATGCACTTTTAAAAACATGGTGTGCTCAAATTTGCACTTTACTGTAAAATATGCTTCAAAACTTCTTTCACGATGAACTCTCAACAATTGCACAAACATGCTTATAAATCATAACTTGGCAGATCTTCTTTGGCAAACATTTAGCAAGTATTCAAGATGCACTTGAGCTCAAAATACTCATCATAATCTCATTTACTGTAATCTAGCATTCAAGAATAACATGCTCTGTACACTTCAATACTTAATACTCTTGGAAAAATTCTCAACAAGTCATAATGGACATCTAGGCATGCTTTTCTAGCAAAACTTAACAAATATTGATCATCTTTCATTATCTAACAGTCATATAATTATCATGCTTCTAAAACAAATAGCCAAGAGCCAACACTTAACATTTTCATTCACTGCAAATGCTTCTAGACAACCTCTGTAGCATTCACAAATTCTATTGCAAATTACTCAATTCTACTCTGAATTCAATGAAATTAATTTCTACTCGTGCGTCATAATGGTCCCGAGTGTCCGAGCCTCAAGGGCTCGCGAGTCCCGGTCCGAAACGACATGTAGCTGAGCCACAAGGGCCTGGCCACTGCACAGACTTTGCCTAGTGGGGCTTGTGGCGGGGCTTGAGCAGCCCCGCTGCCTGGAACCGCCAAGCGGCGGCCGAGGGCCACAGCTCTAGCCTAGAGCCGTGCCCTAGGGCCGCTCCTCCACGGGGCTTGCCAATAGCTCCTTCCTAGGGCCGTTGGCTAGTCCCGTGTCTCATCTGGTGCACACTGTTTTGTGCACCAATGAGATTCTTCTTCACCTGTAATGACATTTAAGGTAAATAAACACTCCCAAATCATCAACAACACATCATAGATCAACAATAGATCGCTTAATAATTCAAACACAACATTATTCTAGCATTTTTACTCATCTCAAACACTAAACAAGACTTTACAGAGTCTAAAATAAGCTTTGGGAGTCCATGGGGTTATACCTTTGTTATTTCCTCTTCTTTTTCTTGTGTGGATCTCTTTCCTTTCATCTCAGATGTTACTCTCATTCACCACCTATTTCCTCAAGCAAACATAGATACATATTAAGCTTAAGACAACCTCAGAGATTAATGGCAAAAGGGATGGAAACCTTAAGGAAAAAGATATGAAAGAATGAGATGAAATCTTACTGCTTTGTTCTTCTAGTTTACACAGAACACGAGGTAGAAGGGGCAAAGAAGAGATCAGGAGAAGCAAGGAGAACATGTTCTATTTATATGGGTGCAAAACCCTAGGTAGATCACCAATGATTGGTGGAGGGTAAGGTGGTAATTTGGCTTAGCTCCTTAAAATATCAGGCATGAGAATGTGGAATCTAGTAGTTCACCAAGCTTCATGGACCAAAGTCTAAAATCATAGTTTAAAAGAGTTTTTGGGGTCAAAATGCATTTTTCTAAAAATACTTTCTTAGACAACCACTTAGATTAGGTTACTCAGATTTCTCCCGGTTTCACTCAAATTCATTTTTGGATCAAAAACTTGGTACGCAATGTACTCAAAAATTTAGGATTTTGGATTTTGAATAATTCCCGATGTTGAATTTACGTAAAAGTGGCTCAAAATAATTTATTCAAACACCGATTCTATCACAAAAAATTTTTATAGATTGAAAATGGCTATTTTATGATTTCTTAAAACCGAATTTAGAAAATTAAATTTTGGGTTGTCACAACAGTTTTTTCCATTTTTAAAATACCCTGAAAATCAATTTTTCATTCATGTGGGGGATTGTCGGAAAAATAGCATAAATTGGCTTAAAATGAAAATTTTAGCTATTTTGTGGTATAATTATTCGTGGGGTTCACTTCAGATTTGGGTCGGGTCAAAGTGGATTCGGGTTCTTCGTAGTGAGACGAAGAGATTGATATATTGTACGCTCAAAACAGATAATGGGTGAATGAGATATTGATTCTCAAAGTATACCCATTTGAGTTGGAAAATGAAGGGAAAAAGTGAAGCTTTTGTCCCACATTGGTTTGAAAAGTGGATTTGCACCACTATTTATACAAGAGCTCTTTTAAGGTTTATTAAATTGTATAGCATAGAGGTTTTCTTTCACGCGAGGGGGGGGGGTGCTGTTGGTCCCGAGAGGGTGGTGAGAAGTCTATAGGGGGGGGTGAATAGATTTCTTTAACTTTTCTTAGACACACAACACTTTGGTAATTTTGAACTCTACACAGCGGAATAATTAACGGTAAACTGTACACAACGGAATAATTAACGGTAAAGTGTTATGCTTGTTTGTGCGGTGCTTAAAGAGATATTCTTGTTTGTGCGGTGCTTAAACGGAATAATTAACGGTAAAGTGTTATGCTTGTTTGTGCGGTGCTTAAAGAGATATTCTTGTTTGTGCGGTGCTTAAACGGAATAATTAACGGTAAAGTGTTATGCTTGTTTGTGCGGTGCTTAAAGAGATATTCTTGTTTGTGCGGTGCTTAAAGAGATATTCTTGTTTGTGCGGTGCTTAAAGAGATATTCCAAACAGATATTCCAAACATGTAGCACGTTAGAATGACTTGATATGGTTCAAGGATGATATGTGCAAAGTTTGGTCCGCAAACATGGGAACTATCAAACCCAAACAGTTAAAGATATGCGATCGATAAATCGTAACGGGTTAGTTCACAGTTAAAGCATGCACAAAGTAAATAAGCAATAAGCAAGGTAAAGAGAGAGAGAGAGATTTATAGTGGTTCGGAGATGGTGTAATTCTCCTACTCCATTCTTCTCCTTTCACTCCAAGGAGGAAATTCACTATTCTTCGATCACCCAGATACAATAGTGAATAAGTGTCCACCGACACTTCCCAAGTGCTCCGCACAAAGCTACACTCCTCCAAGGTTTTCACAAGCTCCTCTTGTTACTCTGCCTTCCCCGAGTACTTCGCACCAAGTTGTACTCCTACACCACGAGAACTACACACAAAGCTACGCTCTCACAGGGTTTTCACAAGCTCCCCTTGTTACTCTTCCCTTTACAACGAGTGCTACGCACAAAGCTACACTCAACTAGGGTTTTTCACTCTCTCTAGTTACTCCGCCCTCTTTCTACACTCAGTAGAGATGTTTACAAAAAAATAAAATATTTCCCTCTCAGACTTGAATATTTCTAATGAAGTTCCCCCCCTTTAAGCTGATTTGAATATTGCTTGATTTTCTCTCGCTTGTGTATCTTGATCGATCAGCCGTGTATCTCTATCTTTGTCTTCAAGTCTGCTTGGACAATTTATAGCCAATGAAAGCTATTTGCCCGTTGATCAACTTTCGATCTCGTCCGTCCATTTCAAATGTAGTTGATCAATTAATGTTGTCAACTTGGTCTTCAACTCTAGATGATAGCCTTTCCGCCTTCGTCATATGATTCAAATAATTCACACCGTTGCTTGTATGCAGATCTGACATAAAGTCCATTGAAAATTGTAGCCTCAAAATTTCAATGGCTTCTTCGTGTGAAATATTGACTTTGTGGCTGTGTACTTGATCTGATAAACCAAGTTGATCAATAAAATATTTCTCCTGCTGATTCTTGCTTGAGTATGAAAAGATATCGTCGTTAATCAGCCTTCTCGGAGTGTCTTTGTCTCCATCGTAAAAACGTTGATGTCCATAAAATAATTCTCGGATTAAATCTTCATGTCTAGGTTCACCTTCCTTTGTGGTCCTTATACCTTGAATTCTCATGTGTATTTGACTTAGAACTTCCAAGTGGATCTTTCTTGTCATGGAGTTTCTCTGTTACATATTTGTAACACATCTTGTTGTGTTATACTTGTAACACATAAAATAGTTACTTTTAATGAGATTTGACCTTAAGATCTCTTGGATAAATAAACACACCTTCATCCATCTCAACCAGTGTAACATTAATGTAAAATGTGTAACCAATTGCTTATACCTCTTTTCTTGATCAACCTTTCACATGCTTAGTACCTTGTCACGTTTGTAACTCGATTTACCTTGTTACAAAATATTTTGCTTGAAATGAGAATCAAACATAGGATGTCTTGACATTTTAATCTATCAAGTCTTCTTCCATCTCTGCTAGCTTAACCTTTAGTAACTTATATGCAGCTTAAATGTGTTAAGCTATAATCCCGCTTAACCATAAAGTTGACAAACTTTAGCAATTCACGTAGGCTTTTATGGCATGGGTGCATCATGCTCTGTGAACCAGACTGACTCAAATAGAAATAAAATTGGAGAATACTAAAATACATTTGGCTCATCAAAACTTTACAATATTCCTAACAGGTGCAAATCAAATACCAAAGTGAGGCTTGACTCAGGCTTAAACTCGTGTACGTTGTCACCTGCGGGCACGGGAACACGAGTTTAAATGCCAAGAAGTAGTAGCAAACTCGTGTACGTTGTCACCTGCGAGCACGGGAACACGGGTTTAAATGCCAAGAAGTAGTAGCAGCAGTAGAATTTTAACAAGAACAAGAATGTTTTATCCTGGAAAACATTGAATTGTAGCATGTTTTATCCTGGGAAACCTAGGCTACAACGCTCCTATCACTTGTGGGAGGTAGCAAATAAGGTTTTAAGGAAAAGAACGATTTGTTCAACTCGTTCTAACCAGTAACCGAATCATCCACCCTTTCCTTCCCAAATATTTTCCTATTTTTTCCATATAATAATAATCTTTTCGTAGGATTATTATTTTTGGGTTTTCCACCTTATTACCTAACAGAGAACTGCATTAAAAGTATTGCAGTCTGGTTTTTATTGGCCCACTTTGTTCAAGGATGCATTCGAATTTTGTGCTAAGTGTGATAGATGCCAGAGGACTGGTAATATATGCAAGCGTCATGAAATGCCCCTCTCAAATATATTGGTTATTGATATTTTTTATGTTTGGGGAATTGATTTCATCGGGCTTTTTCCTTCATCTTTTGGTTATAATTACATTCTTGTGGCTGTTGATTATGTGTCAAAATGGGTTGAAGCTGTAGCTACTAGGACAAATGATAGTAAGGTTGTTTTGAAATTTTTGAAAGATATTTTTGCCAGGATTGGGACACCCGGAGCTATTATTAGCGATGAAGGTACTCACTTTTGTAATAAACTTTTTGTAGGTCTTCTGAAAAATATGGCATTACTCACAGAGTAGCTACTCCATATCATCCCTAAACCTCTGGCCAAGCAGAGGTGAGTAACAGGCATATTAAGGGAATTTTGGAAAAGACAATGAATCCTTCCCGGAAGGATTAGGCCATCAAGCTGAATGATGCACTGTGGGCTTACAAAACAACCTACAAGACCCCGATTGGTATGAGCCTGTACAGGTTGGTATTTGGCAAGGCTTGTCATTTGCCAATAGAGTTAGAACACAAAGCCTATTGGGATATTAAATTCCTAAATTTTGATTTGCAAAGAGCTGGTGGAATTAGAAAATTGAATTTGAATGAATTAGATGAAATAAGGAATGAGGCATATGAAAATTCAAAACTTTATAAAGAGAGGACTAAAACTTATCATGATAAGTTTATTTTGAGGGGAAAATTTTTAAACCTGGGATGAAAGTTTTGTTATTTAACTCTCGTTTGAGATTGTTTCCAGGTAAGTTAAAATCCAGATGGACAGGGCCTTTTGTGGTACGTGAAGTGTTTTCTCATGGTGCTTGTTAGATTGAAAATCCAAAAACAAGTAAAAAATTTAAGGTAAATGGGCAACGACTAAAGCAGTACCTTGATGGTGAACCATCAGCCCAAATTGTTGAATGGGTAGAGTTGCAGGATTTTGAATGCCATGTTGTCTAGCTACAAACAATAACTGAAGCGCTATTGGGAGGCACCCCAAATTCTCTTTCCCTTTTCCTTTATTTTCATTTTGCTTGTTGTGCCATTTCAATAATTTGTTGAGCTTATCATGTTTGTGTTTCTTTTATAATTTTTGTTCTCAACATTGAGGACAATGTTTGAAATAAGTGTGGGGAAGAGATTTCTATTTTAGAATATTTGTCATTCTTTTAAAAAGAAAAAACCAATTACTTAAAAAAACTAAGGCTATGTTTGGCAAACCTATCTGAAATGGTAGCAGAAAAGCTATAAGCTAAGAGCTGAAAACTGAAGAGCTGTTAAGCTAACTGTTATGCTTGAAAGTGTTTGGTAAAATTAGCTTTTTGATAAGCTGATAAATATAAAAAGACAAAAAAGAACATCTTCATAAAATATAAATTATATCAGTTTGTTTACATATTAAAATTTAACATTTTAAAATAAAATTATTAGCATAATCATGATCTAGCACCTCATAGTGAAGTAGCAATATTGTTGTGAATCTCCTTCATCAATAATAATAATAATAATAATAATAATAATAATAATAATAATAATAATAATAATAATAATAATAATAATAATAATAATAAGAATAACAATAACAATAACAATAACAATAACAATAACAATAACAATAACAATAACAATAACAATAACAATAACAATAACAATAATAATAATAATATTTGCGGTGAAAGTTGTGGATAAAAGAGAAGAGAAAATGATTTTAATTGGGAAGGGTAAAGGATGTTATTTCTTTAAAATAATAAGTACAAAGATGTAAAAAAGTTAGGAAGCTACTAGCTTATTTTGAAACGCTACCTAAGGTAGCGTTCCAAAATAAGCACTTATTTTAATCTACGAGCTTATTTTAGGAACATTACCAAACAGAGCTTATAGCTTATTAGTAGCTTAAAATAAGCTATAAGCTCCTAAATATGCTCCGTCAAACAAACTCTAAATAAGTATGAACTTGAGCTTTTACCTAGTAAGTCTTTTGAATAGCCTATGAAGAAAATAATGCATGTTTTTTTGTCTAACTCTTAAGTCATATATATATATATATATATATACCTATATTGTATTTTAACACGCTGGTGTGGGTTACCAGCATTATTCGCTGAACAGATATATTTGGCTTTCAGGCACAGATGAGTAGCTCCAGAGCGCGCTAGTTGGACCCGAGGCTTAGCTAGTTTAGTTCCTTATCGGCCTGCGTGCCATGATGATGTACTTGACATTGATTTGAGGATTTATGATGTTTAGATAGTTTAGCCTGTGCATCTGAGTTCTCCAGCTCAGATGTGGCATAGCACCCCGACAATTATGTTTAGTTATGCTTTGTTTTGGGATTTAATGATAGTATTACCTTTATTTCATAAGCATTCAAAGTTTAAAATTTTAGGGGTGTTACACACCATCTTCTTCCTCTCTTCTTCATGATGTTCATAGGCAGCGGGTGGAACCGCGGTGAGAACCACCACCCGCCAACCTGCTGCTCGCCGGAGAGCTGACCAACGCCACCACTGTCCAAGCTGCCGGAGAACCAAGCTATGCCACCGCCAACAGCTCGCCTTCAACGAAACAGCCCACTGCACCCTACTGGACTGCCGCCGCTTCGATCACCGAAAAACCGAGGAAGGAGAAGAGGTGCTCACCGTGGCTGCTTTGTCTTGGCGGAAACAGAGGTCGTTGAAGCTCGACGTCATAGCTATTTCGCCAGAGACTAGATGCCACCCGACGAACCAGTCCGAAGCTCCACCGCCGTCGACGAACGCTCTCTCTTTGCCACTGCTAGGCTGCCAAAGCGAAGGAGGGAGGGAAGGAAAGGAAGTCGAGAGATGGAGATGGGAAAACTGAGGTTGAGGCCTAACATACATGCTACGCGGCTGATGAGTCGAAGAAGCTCAAAGAGACGGAGGGGATGATTGGTTTCTATAGGGAATTGGGTTGGACTAGGCATTTTGGACTCACAACATATCACTCATATATTTATATATACACTCATGGGCTTGACTATTGGGTGCAAGACTCATAGTAAATAGTTATATTTTGGGCTTAAGGCATTTGGGTACGAAAATAATAATTCATATAATAAATAGACCCGAGCCCATTTTACAAAATAAATAACTATATAAATATTTTTAATACAAATATTTAATATCGGGACTATAATTTATTTTAGGAAAATACGGGGTGCCACATCAGTTTCTTACGGTTCCACAGCTCATAAGGAGTCTTATCGAGCTTCTTGCTGGGTACCTTATTTAAAAGGTAATTACTTGTCAAAATCGCCTCACCCCACATACCTTGAGGTAGGCCCGAACTTATAAGCATCGCATTCATCATATCTTTCAATGTACGATTCTTTCGTTCGGCAACACCGTTCGATTGAGGTGCGTAAGGTGTTGTACGCTCGTGTATTATACCTATACTTGCATAGAAGTTACCAACTGGTGCTTCATACTCACCACCTCTATCGCTTCTAACCTTCTTAATTTTCTGATTAAGTTTGTTTTCCACTTCATTCTTATAAAGAACGAATTTATCAACGGCTTCATCTTTGCTCTTAAGTAAATACACATAGCAGTATCGTGTGCTATCATCGATAAACGTGATAAAATACTTATTACCACCTCTCGTGATAATATACTTATTACCACCTCTCGTTTGTATCGATCTAAAATCACACAAATCACTATGGATTAATTCTAGTAGTTCAGTTTCACTTTCAACTGATTTGAAAGATAATTTCGTTAGTTTTGCCTCAACACAAATTTCACTTTTGTTATTCGTGTTAATTTGAAAGTTCGAAATATGGTGCATGCTAATTAGTCTACGTATAGAATTAAAATTAACATGACCAAGTCTACCATGCCACAAATTGGAAGACTCTAACAAGTAAACAGAATTAACTTTGGTTTTATTGATAACAAGAATTACACTAAGCTTAAAATGCCCATTAGTTACATATCCTTTACCAACAAACATTCCTAACTTAGACAAAACAACTATGTCTGATTCGAACACCATGCAAAACCCATGCTTGTTCAGCAGCGAGCCAGACACAAGATTCTTCCTCAGCTCAGGTTCTACAGCACGTTGTTCAACGTCAGTTCCTTCCTGGAAGTCATCTTCAGAACCACCTTGCTCATGCCTTCCACAGCAGACTAAGCAGAGTTTCCCATCCACACCTTTTCACCCTCAACGGTCTCAATGGTGTTGAACATCTCTCGGTTGCAACACAAATATCTGGTTGCACCAGTGTCGATGAACCACTCACGTGGGTTAGAGCCCACGAGGTTCACCTCGGTCACCATAGCCGAAAGGCTAATCTCGACCTCCTTCTAACTGCTCTCTCCAACAACTTTGGCTTCAGAACTCTTGTTCTTCTTCCTTGGAGCCTTGCATTCAGACGCTCTGTAGCCAGGCTTGCCAAAATTGTAGCATTCACCAAGAAACTTGTTCTTGGTAATGCCACCTTTCAGACATAGCTTTCGCTTGTCCTTCTTGTTCCTCTTGGAGCTTTTACCGTGCTCCACAACGTTGGCCTTAGTGCCACTAATGACAGGAGCTCTCCCATCATTCGTCATGTTCCCTTCCTCAATCCTGAGTCCCTGAATCAGGTCCTCCAGATTCATCTCATTTCGCTTATGCTTAAGGTAGTTCTTGAAGTACTTCCAACCTGGAGGCAACAAGTGGATCACAGATCCCACTAGGAAGGCTTCACTCAACACCATGCCCTCGTCACGAATCTCGTCAAATATTAGTTGCAAATTTTCAACTTGACTTAGCACGGTCTTGGAATCAACCATTTTGAAGTCCAAGAATTGGCCAACCACAAATTTCTTTGCGCCGGCATCCTCACTTCTATATTTGTGATCCAAGGCTTCCCAAAGCGCTCTTGATGTGCTTATCTTTCGATATACATCGTATAGCGCATCACACAATCCGTTTACGATGTAATTTCGGCAAAGGAAGTCTGAATCATTCCAAATGCCAACTGCCATCACGGACTGAGCCATCTTGTTCCTTCATCTCAGGAACTTTCTCGGACAAGAACCTTGCCAAGCCGAGAGTTGCTAGGTAGAACAACATCTTTTGTTGCGACCTCTTGAAGTTCGACCCAATGCCGGTAAACTTCTCTTGCTTTTCAGCCGATCTGCTCGGTACCGAACGTACCCGAGTCATGGGAATATATCCATCAGTGCTCCCACCATCTTGTGAACCAACGTTCACTGGTGGTGCCTAGGAATTCGCAACATTGTTGTCGTTCCCTCCATTGTTGTCCGCTACAACATTTTCCTCCCCATGGATTTGCAGTACGGGGTCCTCCATTTCTTCAATGAAATTAGAGACAAGAAACCAACGGGAAAACGAGGGAAATAAGGTTTTAAGACTGTTGGATATCCCGTTGGTAAAACTGAATAATAATCCCACAAAAATAAGGATTATTATTTTCTGTAGAAAAGGGAAGGAAAGATGAAGAGATAGGCTCGTGTTTGGTGTAGGGTTTTTAGCAAGAGTCAAGCGATCACTCTTTCCTTGAAACCTTATTTGCTACCTCCCACAAGTGCTAGGAGCGTTGTAGCCTAGGCTTCCTAGGATAAAACTTGCTATGATTCAATGTTTGAGCACCCAAACAAGGAATCCGGTGAACTAGAGCAACGTTTTGAACACAATTCAGCTAAGAAAGAGTAGAAGCAGAGAGTTTTTGGAACTAGAAAATGTGTAAGTATGTGAACTTGTTGTTCTTTTTCAAAGCTTCTACCCTACCCCTTCTTATATAGGGCTTGAGGATTAAATAGCTATTAATAAGGCACTTAAAGGCACCCCTACAACTCCTGTAACAACAACCATTATCTTGGATTTTAATTCAAAATTTAAAATTGGAATTAATTCAAAGATTAACTCCGTAACAACTGAATATCTTGGATTTTAATTCAAAATTGGAGCGCACACGAGCTTAGGCTTAATTCAAACCTTTTTCGCTCTCAACTGTCAGTAAAGCAAGAATGAAACTAAAATAATTCAAAATACAAATAAGTGAATAACTATGTCACTTTACCAGACTTAACTTAAAAAAATAATTGCCAAATACCTTGTTGTTTGCTGGCGAACCTTTCAATTTCCAAATGGAAAGTAGGTTAGATTGTAGTATAAAAAAATAAAAATAAAAAACTCTAAAAATACTTTATTAAATAGATATTTAATACGAGTTGAATGACAATAAAAAATTAAAATAAAATAAAGAATGACCAAACTCCAATGGTTTACTTACCCCAACTATGCTAACACTCTGGCCTCAGGTGTTTCTGCTGCGCGCTCTACTTCAAAGATTCTTCTACTTCACTTCATGCTGAACCAGACATCTTTTTTCTTCTTTTTGGGTTCTAGTTCAGCTTGAATATCTTTGTTCCATTGCTTACGAGCGTCTTCCTGTATATCAAGAAACTTTTTGTAGCTAATTTCTTCCAACCATCCAACGATGCTGAAAGTTTCTTCTAATCCTTTTTTTAGCAAAAATATTCCACATTGTTTCTTGATCTTTGCCAAAACATCCATGGTTGATGAAGGCTAGTTAAAAATGTGTATGCTTCCTCTGTTGCTTTTTGTTGTGCTTCATTTACAAAACCAATGGACCCTTGTCCCTTGCAAAGCATCTACTCGATCATCTATTGAAGGTTTGGGTTATGGGGTAGATCTGCTGGCTCTTTTCATCTTCTCATTAATTAGGGGAATATCAACTGGTTTTCGTTCTTCAGAGTGTGGAGTAGTAGCAATATTATGGTTCATTGTTGAATGTTGATTGCATGTATGCGAACCAACCTGGACAGCAACAATGGTTGAACAATTGCAACAAGGTGCGTAGCAGCTTCAGTTTGGAACAGCAGCAATAATAATAATCATTGGCTTCAGTTTCAAACAACAGCAATAATAATAATCATTAGCTTCAGTTTCGCATGGCATCAATAATAATAATCATTGGCTTCCTTAGTTTTGCATGGCAATCACAACAAAAATAATTGGCAGCCTTATCTTCGCACAACAGCAACTATGGCGTGGCAGCAATCTCGTTTTCGCACAGCAGGAATGAAGCAGCGTCGAACATGAATAATAACAACTTAGAATGGCAATTATATATCTGTGGCATGTATTATAATCACTCCCTTAAAAGCATTTGCGACCAGGGTATCGCATGCTCTCGACAGGAAACACAGATTCGCTATGAACATATGAGTTTAGAGTTTCTCAGGTAGAAAGAAAGATTTCAGCTTATTCTTCTAGCAGAGATGGAGTGTGTTATATATACTGAGAATAAAACCACCCCATCCAGTGAAATGCTACAAAGAAGGAGAGCAAGTGAAGGAGAATCACTCATGTCTCATGCACGTTCACAGTTTGTGAATAGTGTGCGGACAAGGTGGTCAAAACTCCTTAAAAATAGGAGTTAAAAAGATATGTGGGACAAAGCTTGATACTTAAAT